CCCCACCGCGGCAGCCATGCATCCCGTAGCCATGGCCGTCGCGCACTTACCCCACATGCATTCCTCGCCCCACCCTGCATTCCTCAGCCTCATAACCACATCATTGGTACCGCTAGACGCCCCCCCATTTTTGTTTTTCCGCGCTAGCACACTTCTTACCCCGCATACGCACAAGCTCGGGCTCGCGCTCGCACGCTATGACGTCCCAGGATTCGAACTCATATGGACCTACTGACAGGTAGATTTCAACGGACTTATCACTTGGGCTCGCTACAAACTATATTATCATGTCATATAATTTTATATTTAAATAATATTATAATATATTTAAAATAAATTAAAACAAAATATAAATTAATAATAAGCTATAAAATTAAATTATTATTAAAAATAGTTATTAAATTAATAATTAACTTAATTAAAAATTTAATAATATTTATTTTAATTATTTAAGAATAATTTAAAATAAAATATTAAAGTTAATAATTAATTAAGTTTTTATAATTAAAGATAATTTATTTAAATTAATAATTTAAACAAACTAAAGGTATTGAGGCCATGCAATGCTTTTTATGGTGCGGAATGTTGGCCATTAAAAGGAGAGCATTATTAGCTAAGTAAGTGTGGCAGAGATGATGGATGCTTCAATGTGGATGAGTGGGCTTTACTGCTTAAGAGATAGGATACGAAAATGAGCATATACGTGAAAAGGTGAGTAGCTCCAGTAGAGATAAGATTCAGAGAGGTCGCCTTAGATGCGTTTGGTCAACATTTAAAACGGCGGCTTCGATGACCCGGTTAGCGAGAGTAAGCCGGATTAGATTTGACTTATGTTAGATAGGTAGGGGTAGGACCTAAAAAGATCTGGTTAGGAAAATATTAGAAATGACCTTTCTTTATGATTTAAACGACGAATAACTTTTAAATAGGACACAATGGCAGAAAAAAAGATTCATGTAGCCGACCCACATAGTGAGATAAAGGCATTGATGATGTTGTTTTGTTGTTGTAAACAAACTAAGTGATTAATTTAATAATTAATTAAAAAAATTATTTAAATTAATTAATAAAAATAACTATAAAATATTAATTATTTAAATTACGAAAATATATATTTTTCAAGAAATTATTAAAATCCGTCAGAAAGTCCACCGGAAATCCATTAGTAAAAATCTCACAAAAAAACACGTCAAAATATTTCATCATAAAATTCGCCAGAATTCCGTCTCTGAAAAGGCCGTCGAAAATGCTGTCGCCAGCAATATGGCATTTCTGATTAGATTGCGTACTAGATGCAAGTTTAATTTGGAGCAACCATGTGAAACACCCTACACACTCTCTTAAACCACAAGGATCTTCTCTCTCAAACTCCACCATTCTTCTCTCCATTTCAAGGACTCTATCTCAAGTTTTCCTAGAAGGGAGAACTTGCAGACTATCTGCACCTTGGCACCTGAAAGCGGTGAAAGATAAGTTGGTGATCACATTGAAAGCGAGAGGAGAAAGATTGGGTTTTTCACTTGATTTGCACCTTGGAGGAAGTAACTGTGCTTGGAGAAGGTGTTGTTGGAGCAGGCGTCGCAGAAGACGGTACCCACTACAGTGACGTTAGCAAGGGAGCTGCAATGGATGACTGGAACTGAGAAGCTGAGAAGGAGAAGAGAGAATAGGATAAGCCTTGCGGCCATGACTTAATTCCAGAAGGTTAGTTTGGTGAAGACTGTAATATGCTGAGCTTTTTATTGGATGAGGGTAGCCCGTGAGTGGGTATATTTGTGATGGAGAGAGAGAAGTGGGGAAGAGAGGGGATGCGAAAAGAAGCATCCATTCACATGGAACAAGAACATGTGAAGAGCTGCCTTTGGAATTATGTGAAGTGTTTTAGAGAGGGAGTTTGTTGGGCCTGTGCTTCACGGGTGGTGTCAATGACTCTGATGACAGGAAGTTCTGCGAGTGCAGCCAGAAGAAGAAAAAAGAATTTTTTTTTTAATTGTGTGATTATTGTATTGATTGGTTCTATCATCTCTCTGATGATCAGCAGGACATGGAGAGAAGCCAGAATAGAAGATTTGGCTTGTGGTTTCAGTGGAGAGTGTCACTTCAAATTCGGATTGCAGTCTATTTTAGTGGATTTTGTGCTAAAAAGTTGTGTGGTGAAGCTGCAATTTTGTTAAAATATGATTATAAAATTATAAGAAAAGTTGTTTTTTTAGAAGTTATTATTGGCATTGTATAAGTTGGAAGTGAAGCATCAATGTTGTTATATAACACAGCTTTTTTAAATGCTTTTTAAAAGCTTTTTACTGTTTGACAGTAAAAAAGTTGTCACAGAGAAGTCTTAGACTTCGTTTGAGATGACTTTCTTATTGCTTCTTAAAACAGCTTTATAGTATAAGTTTTTTTATATATATACTTGAAAGCTGCTTTAAGAAGCATAAAGAAAGCCGTCCCAAACGATGCCTTAGTCTTTGTTTGGAACAGTTTTTTTACTGGTTTTTAAAGCGGCTTTTTAGTATAAATATTTTAATTTTTGTACTAGAAATCGACTTTAAGAAGCATTAAGAAAGTAGTCTCAAATGAAGACGACTTTTTTATTGATTTTTAAAGTAGCTTTCGAATACAAAAATTTAACTTTTGTACTAAAAAAATATTTTAAGAAGCAGTGAGAAAATCATCCCAAACGAAGCCTAAATCAAAAAGCTGCTTTCTCCACAGCAGTTTTACGACTACATTCACAAGAAGCTACAGC